GAAATGAATATACATTTATAAGGAATGTATATTAAATTTTAATTAAAACATTTGAAATTAAAGTGCCAAAAACATGCAAGTTAAAATCAAAACCGTGCCAAACCCAAATTTTGAAAATGTTTTTTTTCATAATTACCTGTCTGATTTTTGTTATTTCCTTTTCGATGAATATATAAATATTTTACTTAATATTATATTTTAGATTTTGTTTTTGTAAAAATTTTCAATAATTGTTCTTTATTCCAAAAATCGATAAATTATTTGTTAAGTTTAATATTTTTTTATATCAAATTTATTATAATTTTTTTTATATAATTGAATTTATATTAATTTATTTCAAGCACTCATTATTTATTTAATATAATAATGACAAATTAAATAAATAAATATATAATAAATTAAAAATATTCTTGGAATTATTTGCAAAATAAAAAAATATAGGAATTTATTTTTTGTGAATTAATAATAATTAATATATAATAATTATTAATATAATAATTAATATACAATAATTAATATATAATAATAAATTAATAATAATATGTATGCAATAAGGATAGTTGGATCAAATAGAGGTGCTCGAATTGAAAACAATATAATATTTAATGCTGATTTCTTTCGTATATATTTTAAATGTGTTTTTTTGCAGTGCACGTTTCCGCTATGAAACATTTTAATATATATACATTCAAAGTCCCCGTCTTACAATTTTTCTCTCTAATTTTTTTCCATATCGATATTATTATATATACTCATATATACAAATCTACACGATAACATTGATTTTTCCCTTTTTTTATTTCTTCGCGTGATATATTTTATGAATTAACATCAAGACAAATATGAAACATCATTTTTTTTTTTTTTTTTTTTTTGATAATAATTTATATTCAAAAACTCTAAGAACTAAGAGAATTTTTTACAAAAAAAAAATCATAAGCGTGAAATCGAGATCACAGGAATATTTTGTCAATTGTTATATATTAGTATATTATATGTTCTACATAGAGACAAAAAATAAAACATTTAACATTCGTTTCTTCAAAAAACTGTCCGAATAAAATTTTTGTCATAAATTTCTCTTTTTTTTAATTTGGAAAATTTTCTCATTTCGTACAAATAGTTAAGATAAATAATGAAGTTAATTACTAAGAAAACTTTTTTTTTATTATCATCTTTTTTTTTAAATAAATAAGAAATTTGTTAATTTTTAAATAAATAGAGTCCCTTTAACATATGTTTTCTCAATAATAAATCTCAGTGGGTGTGAAGAAACGAATGCCAAAGTGCTAAAAAGATGCAAGTGCGTTTCATTTGCGCGTCGAACATAAAGTTTTTGTCAGTTTTCATGTTAAATGAGGATAAAATGTCATTATCGGTATAGTTTTCTATTGTTGATCGATTAATATTATTAGTAATTATTATTTTCATTATTATTATCATTATTGTGAAAAAGTGACACGCTCTCCAAAATGCAAAAATGAAAAACAAAGTCATCATCAATAACTAAATCAAATATAATTCGACGAGGACGGGAGAAATACTAGTTGTTTTTTTTTTAATAATAAAGCGCTAATTAATTATATAATGATAATAATACTCAGTGGTGTAGATAGAATAATTGTGAAAAGACTTTTTTTCAGTCCCATCTTAGAGAATATAATTTCCTTTTTTTTTTTTTTTATTATTTCAACTTTTTTTTATGAAAGTAAATTTTAAAATTAAAAATAAAATAGAACATTTTCCCAGCTACACCACTGATAATACTTATATGTCAAGGGCACTGTATTGGTGATGATAATAATAAAAGTTATTAATATAAAGATAATATATAATAATATAATAACCGTTAAAGCCGTAATACACGAAAAATCATAATTTTGTTCTCCATTACTATAAACTCGAAATCACGGCATATTAGGACGAGGATATATATTCGAATATTTACAAAAAGTCTCAAAGCGACGGACATATTTTTATATATGTCAAAAAAAAAAAAAATGATTTCGCGGTTTCGCGAATTTTTTCATTTTCTCTATATAAGTTATAATAATATATATATTTTTTCATTAAACGACATTTGTCGCTTATTTATGGCCTTTTGACTATTTACAGATTTCGTTTTTTTTTCTTTTTTTTTCCTTTAAAGTTATACAATATACATTTATGTTTACACTCCATTATATATATATATATTTATATAATATATATGTATACATATGTATATTTATTATTTATTAATATATAGAATTATAAATCTGTATATATGTGCATTTTTATATACAATATAAGATGAAGGGTGGTGATAATGCTCAACTTATAATATATATATATTTATCAACGAGAATTATTATTTTTTTTTTTTTGTACTTGAAAAAACCCGAAAATTTGTTTTCGTTTTTTTTTAGATCCACCCCTCATCTCATTCTCAACTTATACACGATTATTTATTTATTTTTTTATCACAGTGGTTATTTGAGGAGAACGAGTCTACCCGTATACTCGTCAACGAATCACTGAGCACGTCGTTTTCAAAAAATTTGGCTAATTTCGCATTTTTTTTTTTTTTTTTTTTTTTAAATAAATCTTTCCCCTCCTTCCCTTTCTGCTGTATATTATTTACAGATGATGATTGAAAGTGAGAAAAACTAAAGTTTTAAAGAGTGACTAAAAATTATAAAAGGTGGCTAAAAAATATTCGCTGTACTGAATAAAAAAAGAAAATTATTTTTTTAAATTTGTTTTTCTCACTCGGGCGAAAAAAGCAATTCTTGAAGAAACTTTTTATATGAAGAGAATTTGATAAAAAAAATAGATATATATATATAAATATTTTTTAAATAAAAATTAAATACTTTCTTTAATTTATACAGAAACAAAGAAAAATGCGAGTAGTATTTGTGAAAAAAAAACGTTCTAAAACTTGCACATTTTCCACTAGAAAAAAAAGACGCGACCTGCGCTCCACACACCTGAAATTTTTTCCCAATTTCCGCCGTCGCTCTTTCTCTGAATCGAGAGGTAACAATCCTGACGAAACGAGAAGAACGTGGGGGGGTTTTTACAGTAGCGTCGCTTCACTGCGAGATCGGAAACAAAATCATGTACATGTGTGCAAGTATTTTTTTTGTTTCTCTTTTTTTTGGCTGTTGTTTTTGTTTATTTTGTTGTTATTTTGTGGAGAAAAATGTTGAGATCGTTTTTTTTTTTTTTTTTTTTTTTGCATTGAATTTTTCACGTGATGTTGATTGTGGGCCGGGTGTTCGTTGAGAGATGGTTGAGATTTTTGCGTGTGAGATGCATCAATCCTTGTGTCCTTCCATGCCCATGAAAATTTCCGAAGTCGCAGAAAGCTTTGTTCCCACCAACAGGGTCCCCCACGTGCAAGCTCGTTTCACATTTGCTTTGTCTCTCGGTCCGTTTGAGTCACTCTGGGTCACAGGCCTCGTTCATCCATCCATCCTCTCTAAGTTATAATCCTACGAGGTTAGTGATTTTTACGTTAGCGAACAATTTTTTTTTTTTGGCGATTTTTTTTTTTATTTTCTCTTTAAGCGCGAGAATATATTTAATAATTAAATCTATGTATATATGTATAGGAACCGATATCCAATGATCCAATCAAAACCCTCTTTGGGAAAAGCAAAAAAAAAAAAAAAGAAAACCTTTTGTCTGTGTAAGGGGGTTCAAATTTAACCCTTCCTCGACCCAAATCTTATTTATCTAGCATTCAATCTTTTCAATCATCTACCTGGAGGACTTGCCTTTAAAAAAATGAAGAGACTATAAATTCTATTATAAATTGCGTTACTAATGAATTTTTTTTGTATTTTTAATTAAAAAAAATAGAATTTTATTATTACATATTTTGATATCTTTTTTTCCTCTTCTCTTAAAATAGATTAGTTGCTGTTTTTATTTATTTAAAAATTATTTTGGATGACAAGTTTTTAAATTTGATGTAAATTTTCGATTGGAAGTGAATTTTTAATTTTTATGATTTGTAAATTGCATTTTAATTTCTTTCCACTTCATCGATTCGAACACAAAAGAATAACAGCTACTTTCTTTTAAATTTATATCATATATAAAAATATCAAATCAATTATTAAATATTGAGTCAAAACAAGAAAGTACCAATGATGCATTATAAGAATTAATTTATTATTATTAAACAAAAAATAGAGAGAAACTATAAGTATCAAATAACAATTGAAAATCGAATTGGAAATAGAAAAAAATCGTAAATATGAAATAATAAAAATCATAAACAATATACAAATCGTCATTTCTTTAGAAATTACACATGAACCCCCCTACACTGGATCATCGGCATAAAAAATTATTTATTAGATAATAACATGCATGCCGTTGTTAATGAGAGAGTAAACGCAAAAGAAAAGATTTACATTTCTATATATCTAAAGACGAATTTCAGTGAGAAAATTTTTGCAGAGGCAAAAGATTTATTTTACAAAATTTTAATTTTAGCCTTAAAGCAAATTTTTTGTTAGTAGTGCCCAGTTATAAATTGTAATTCTTTTAAAATATTAGCCTTGATTATTTATCACATTTTGTGAAATTAACTATTTATATAAATTGTGCTCTCCTCAAATATTATGCATGAATCAAACTTTTAGAAACATATTAACCCCTTTATTAAAAAAAAAAAAAAAACGATTACTCATTTTACAAAAATTCCTACTCTTTGTCTAAATATGAAAATTGAACAGAAAATTGAATTAGAAATAAAATAAAAGGGAATTTTTTTTCTCATCTACAAAGAAATATTTTTTCATCTCAATATTAAAACTGTTGTCTCATCTATATTATTATAGAAATTTTCTCATCGTCAACGGAATACAGAGATCTCACACTTCATAAAGAAGTAGTAGAAATTTTCGATCTCATTATATTCTATAATATATAATTATATATTCTCTCTTAAATATTAAACGACAATTTTGAATAAAAGTCATTGAAAAAGAAAGGATTCTTACATGTGTGATAGAGGTGGTAAGGCTGAATGATGCTGAGACAGTGAGTCCGTTACTGGTCCGGTTGCATAAACGGAATTGTGCTGTACAGAATTATGATCTTGTATTCCTGGTAGATAAACATTGATCATGTTCCTGAGATCGGGACCCTGTTGTTGTGGCTGTTGGCCCATGTATTCTCTTTTAACACCGCCGGGTACGCCTGAGGACGTTGGTCCACCAGTGGGTGTTGGTGTGTGAATTCCGCCGCTCGCAGGACTCGTTGGCTCTGATTTTATGCTGCTTCCACTTGGACTATGACTGGACATTTGTGATCCAGGTTGAGTTTGATGATAAGGCGATGGTGAACCACCGGGAATGGCTGCAGTACCATAACCACCATAGCCATTCACGTAATTATTAATGGGACTTGGACTGCCACCTCCCATGTGATGGCTCATATCGTACCTTGTGTACGCTGCCGCGGCGGCTGCATTTGCGGCCATATGACTATTATAAGCCGGATGCTGTTGATAAGCTGATGGATCATACATTAAATGTGAACCATTTGGCATATATCCATTTGTCATTTGATAAACATCACGCGATAATTGTGGTTGTTGTGATCCAGCGGCACCTCCAACTTGTCGTTGATCAACGGCCAACATACCAGCAACACCAGAAACAACACCGCCAAGTGGGAATTTGTCCTTCTTGTTGATGGTCTTTGTCTTGCGACGTGGTCGATACTTGTAATCGGGATGTTCCTTCATGTGAACGGCCCTGAGTCGTTTGGCTTCATCGATAAATGGTCGTTTCTCCGTTTCGCTGAGAAGCTTCCATTCGGCACCGAGCCTCTTTGAAATTTCCGAATTGTGCATTTTGGGATTTTCTTGGGCCATCTTGCGACGTTGACCCCGGGACCAAACCATAAATGCATTCATTGGCCTCTTGACACGATCATTGTTATTAGTTTTGCTTGTATTATTATTGTTGTTTGAAGTCTGATGCTGTTGGGTTTGCTGTTGAGATTGTGAATGATGTTGCTGTTGTGCGGCGGCACTCTGTTGAGCAAGACTGTGCATCACTTGTTGTTGTTGCTGTTGTGCTGGTTGCATGGCACTGTAATGATGTTGTGTCTGATGATGGTGTTGCATTCCCAAACCACCAAGTCCAACGCTACTTGGCGGACTTACGGATATGGGATTTGAAACAAGACCACCTAAATTTGGATAGGGCGATGTTGTTGTGGCATGATGACCCATCGTCGAAAGACTATGATGGGTATGTGGGGGCATTTGCGCGTGCAAACTGCCGCCCTTCAAATCCGACTCCATCGTGAGCATATCTTCCTCCCTGTGCCCGTACAGTTTGCTGGCTTTTTCAAAAACACTTGGGAGTCAATAAAAACACAACTAATTATTCCCCCTCACAGTCATACGGAACCCTTAGGTCACGATATCTAACATCGGTTAGACACAAGTAGTCAATTTATAACACTCCCGAAATCACAATTAATTCACTTTTAGCTGTTTTAATAAAGGAAAAAGTAAATAATTCCTGTTTCGTCAATCACCTCGATGTCACAGGGTTCAAAACAATAAACAACACTGTCACTATTTCCCAGCTTTCGAAAAAAAAAGGAAAAGAAACTAACTAAAGCGTTATTCGAGTCTAAAACGAAAAAAAAATTAATTTCTCTCACTTAAGATTGACTTTGCACAAAATTGAGAAATTTTGCTGTGTAAAGACGACACTCTTCACAATTGATGATTTACGCGTTTCTTTTTTTTTTTGCGATCTATAATAAAGCAAGAACACTATAACGACATCCACTCTCTCCGCAAGAACGGAACCGTCTGAGCATTCGTTGCTTTTGCCTTGGGCTTTGTAGGTCTCGTTCACTTGCTGCCGAGGCGACCGCCCCTCCCACATTAATCCCCCTACCAATCGTTCGCCCCATCCCACTTTTCCCCTCCATCACCCGCAAATGACCGGGAAACCCGTCGCATGAGCAAAAGTCTGACCGGGTTTGAGAGTACTGTCGGCAATCGATTGGCACACACGCCTGCCATCATTTCAGTCAGCCAATGGTGCGCCTCCCTCGACCATTGGGGGAGTGGCAAAACAATCTGACGTCACAAAAGCCAACCAGGACGACCTCTCGCGGTGGCGGCGCATCTCGTCATGCGCCTCAAGCTTTTGACCACCCGCTTAGTAAAGGTTCCCGTGTATATACATTTCTAGGAAATTGTTTAAGTGTCTGTCTATATACGTATATACAATACATACATGTATATGAATACATGTATATATAAAACTTTGATACACGTATACTAGTTGGCGTACAACGAAAACTCTTACTCGTTGTGTCTTTTGCAACGTTGTGAGTTTGGAAATTTAGTAACTTAGCGCCTCATGTGAATGAGACAATTTGTTAATTATTGTCAGGTATTCTCTTTTGTTATATACATGTACCTGTAAACACACGCCATGAAATGTGAATTTACCTTAATTATAGGACTTTTCTATAGTGTTACTTATAAGACACTTAAATATCACTTAGTTAGATGCTAATAATGTCTGTTCAAGAATCTTTAATTACACAATATGTTAGTGTATATTGGTATAGTTTATAATATATAATAATAAAATGACATTTATGACACTTTTAAGGGCAGGTCAAAGTCGATGCTTTTTTCCCATTGGAGACTCTATGTAAAAATTGCTTCGACTTTGACCTGCCCTTAAGTGACTTGTATGCCACTATTAAGTGATATATGTCTCATAAACGGGATTTTTTTTTTAATAGTATAGGTAATAGTTATTAGTACTCATATGCGGTTTTTACTCATTTCTAAATTTGAATTAGTGCGAGAATACGTTCATTAATTCAAAGTAGTAGAAATTTTCACTAATTTTTAATGAAATTAACTGCAACAAGTTTTATCCCAGTTGAGGGCGCCACCGTCTATGTGAATTAGCATTGGTGAAAATTACCCGCAACAAAATTTATTTAGCGTTTTTTCTGTGATATTACTATTTGATTTAGTAATATTTTTTTTAAGTAAATTTTTGTGCAAAAATTACTCAAAATTAGTAAAAAATTTCATAAGTTGCGGTGAATGAATTCTAACTAATTCAAGTATTTATGGAGTATATTTTATTTACAATGATAATTATATATATATGCCACTATTCAATGACTTTTATGTCACTCTCTCTAAATTTAAATTAGTGAAAAGTGAGATACTAATTCACATTAGTAAGAATTTTTATTAATTTTTAGTATAAAATGTTACTATTTGATTTAGCAGTTTTAAATTTTTTTACTCTCTAAACCTGAATTAGTAAAAATGTTTACTATAATTTAAATTAGTGATTAACTTTTTGCTTTATAATTAGTAAAATTTTACTAATTGTTAGTAACTTTTACTAAAAATTAGTAAAATTTTACTAATTATAAAGCAAAAAGTGAATCACTAATTTAAATTAGTAAACATTTTTACTATATCACAGTTTTCTAGAAAGGATCAAATTGAACCCGAAGTGGATCAAATTGATCTAAAAATTTGGATCAATTTTTGATTTGATCCGCATTTTTGGATCAATTCGTTGCAATTTGACACTTTTAGGTTAACAGTGTATATATGTAATTCAGATTTAGAGAGTACTAAAGTTTTAGTGAAAAGTGACTAAAAATTAATAAAAATTCTTACTTATTTCAAATTAGTATAACTCACTTTTCACTAATTGCAGATTTAGAGAGACTGATGAAATTATAATTTTTTAATTCTATTAATTTCTTATATTCTTATTAAAATAAGAATATTTTGACTATTTTCTAAATCTGAAAAATACGTTTTTTTTTATAGAATATATATATATATATGTCATCATTTTTTGTATATCCAGAAATTTTGAAAAGTATATAATCCAAAATAAATTAGGCAAAATTTCGTATTTAAAATTATATAGATAAATATTTACAATTAGAAGAAAATATATATATTTTGAATTGCATTTTATTTGAAAATGTCACGTACACGCACATTACTTTTTGAATTATACAAAGTTTGCAACACTTCAATGACCACTAAAAGATCGTATATATTTATTAATATAAAACTTTCCTTTCGCGTGTGTATATCAATTACATGCAAATATATATTCATTATTTGTACAACTGAAATTTTCAAATTAAATATATTCCTCAATACAGTTTTAATAATTTAGATTGATTATCAGCTGTATTTATAATTTTTTCACGTGATTTTATTTAACAAACATACAACTCTTTCATACATATATACATATGTATATATGAACAATTATTATTATTAATTTTATTCGTTTGCTATACAAAAATATGTAATATTCCGAACAATTCAGGGACACGCTTATTTATTTGAATATTTATAGGATTTTTTTTTTAATTTATTATAATGACTATATAGTTAAAGCTTTCAATTTTTTTTAATTTACATACATATAATTATAGTCTAATTTCTTTTATATGAATTTTTTGGCAACAAAGTAATTTTAAATAAAGAAAATTTTTTTGCTAAAGTTTGTTTTTGACATAATTCGTTTTCGCTAATATATATTTTCTTGATTAAAATAAGTCGTATGAAATATGAAAAATGCGTGATCGCTATTTCAAAATTTATTAATTTTAACCATTATGTCAATTTGTTATATTTGAAAATTTTCCTATATATCATCCATGATAATAATAATTTCTAATAATTAGGGTAAAATTAATAAATGAAAAATGAAATTTACCAATAAAGTGGAAAAGAAGTCGTAAATAAAGGTATAGTTCAATGTAAAAAGTCATTAGCGTTAAAAGGGGAAGTATTAATCGAAGTTATAGATTACAACCGCAACGGAAATTAAATCGATTCATTTGGCTAACTCTCGTATATAGGCTCGCAGCGACACATTCTATTTTAGGTGATGGCGGCGTACAGAAATTGTGCACGATATCGTCCGACAGACATTTTATATACATATACATATATATATATATATATATATATATATATATATATATATATATACATATATGAAGCAAATTTGCGAGCAGTCACCTGTGTCGCGTGACACAACGATATTTGAATCTCCTTTTATTCGCTCGACTATATAGGACTTTTTTCTTGTAGTCGCAAACGCTTTTTGGTCTTTTTTCACTCGGAATCCACAAAGAAGCTCACGAGAGAATCGCTACTATATATATATGAAAGACTTCCATTTGACGTTTAAGCGGGTTCATGCGTAGGACCTGTTGCCGCGAGATATAATAGAAGAATACGTCATAGATAATCATAGCGCACCCTGCGTGCACTCTCTATAGTCATGACAATAAAAGTAACAACGGGGAGGGAACCCAGGCCACGTTCAATTTAGACGAATAAATACATCGAATATACTTACATTGTATTTTTGTGTGTATATTTTTATTTGTTCATATAATCGCGTTGACTTTTGTTACCTTTTTTCGCCATAACACATTCGTCGCAACAAATAACTTGAAATAATTGTATAGAAATTTTACTTCGCATTTTCAAGTGTGCGCATTTATATTATAGGTATATATATATATATATATATATATATATATATTTATAATAAAATTTCGGCTCTCTAAATTTAAATCAGTGAAAATATCAAATCAGTTGCTAAATTCCACGGGTATTTTAATTAGTGAGAATTAGTATGGTTTTTGCTGATTCAAAATTGTTATATTATGTATATAATAATATTGTATTATATTGATATATATATATGAGGCAAAATTCCTGAAATGTCCGAACAAAAAATTAAAAGTTCTCGAATTTAATCCATACTTTTCTAAAATGTTGTTATTGTTGGTAAAAGTCTAAAAATCAATTATTATTGAATTTAATAAAATAGTTTTTAAATTACAACGTTTTTAATTTTTGACTTTTGAAAAAAAAATTTTTTTTCAATGTACAATATTTATAAGTAGAATGCATAAAAGTTAACATATATATAATGATTTTTAAAGCTTTTTTGACGAGCTACACGCTGTTAATAAAAATTTTTTTTTTAAATAACATTTGACCTTGAAATTCAAGGTCAAAATGTTAATTTACATTTATCTCAAAATCGGATTTTTTAAAATTATTTTTAACTATCTCAATGGAAAGCTTGACTAATTTCCTACAAAACATGTAATTTTCAGAGTGGGATCTTTTAAAGTTTTTGAGATATTAATTAATTAATTAATTAATGTTTATAACAAATGAAATATTTTACAAACGAATAAAGTTACCGTAATTCTGAAGTTAGTAATTGAAAGTTAACGTAATTCCGCATCCAACGAGCCCTATATGAAGTATTTTGGATAAGTAGATTGTTAATAAACAATTAGTTAACATTGCAATTGTTTATTAACAATCTACTTATCCAAAATACTTCATATAGGGCTCGTTGGATGCGGAATTAGCTTAACTTTCAATTGGTAAGTTTAGAATTACCATAACTTTATTTGTTTGTAAAATATTTTATTTTTTACTAACAAGAAGCATCCAAAAGCCCTATATGAAGTATTTTTGTTCAATTTTAGTTAAATAACAATAAAAAATGAAATATCTTACAAACAAATAAAGTTATCGTAAATCTAAACTTACCAGTTGAAAGTTAAGCTAATTCCGCATCCAACGAGCCCTATATGAAGTATTTTGGATAAGTAGATTGTTAATAAACAATTGCAATGTTAACTAATTGTTTATTAACAATCTACTTATCCAAAATACTTCATATAGGGCTCGTTGGATACGGAATTACGTTAACTTTCAATTACTAACTTCAGAATTACGGTAACTTTATTCGTTTGTAAAATATTTCATTTGTTATGAACATTAATTAATTAATTAATTAATATCTCAAAAACTTTAAAAGATCCCACTCTGAAAATTACATGTTTTGTAGGAAATTAGTCAAGCTTTCCATTGAGATAGTTAAAAATAATTTTAAAAAATCCGATTTTGAGATAAATGTAAATTAACATTTTGACCTTGAATTTCAAGGTCAAATGTTATTTAAAAAAAAAAAATTTTATTAACAGCGTGTAGCTCGTCAAAAAAGCTTTAAAAATCATTATATATATGTTAACTTTTATGCATTCTACTTATAAATATTGTACATTGAAAAAAATTTTTTTTTTCAAAAGTCAAAAATTAAAAACGTTGTAATTTAAAAACTATTTTATTAAATTCAATAATAATTGATTTTTAGACTTTCACCAACAATAACAACATTTTAGAAAAGTATGGATTAAATTCGAGAACTTTTAATTTTTTGTTCGGACATTTCAGGAATTTTGCCTCATATATATAAATAATAATATATATATATAATATAAATATATATATATAATATATAATATATATATAATATAAATAATATATATTATATTGAAATTA